TATAAAACATTCCGCAATATTCAGTGGGTTCATTCACAGTACTCCAGAATCGGACTTTAGATCCAAACTCTCGGAAAACGACTCGTGCATAATCAACAAAGTAATCTATCATGCTTTCATTGGCCCATCCTCCGAATGATTCTAAGATATACGGATGGTCCCAATGATAAATCGTGACAAAAGGCGTGATTCCTTTTGACGATAACGCGTCAATGACATTGTTATAATACTTCACTCCATCTTCACTGATATTCTCCGGAGATGCAGTTGGTAAAATTCTTGGCCAGCTCAACGAAAATCGATAGTGTTGCAACTACAAAGTGAATAAACAATTTCAATTATTAAACGCATTCATTCCAATTGTTTGAATCACACCGGAGAGAGTCATTACTTTGATTTCTGCCATCAACTCAACATCTTCTTCCCAGTGATAGTAAGAATTGCACGATGTATCTGCAACCATTTTAGAACCAGCTCTGTAGATGTGGTCTAAATTGCTCATTGATTTATCACTCGCATTCCAGCCTCCCTCGACTTGAAAAGCAGAAGAGGCTGCCCCTATGCTGAATCCAGCGGGAATTTTCAGGTAACTGTCTCCATTTACGACATTTCTGCAAAAACATTATTCAAAACCACATTAATGAAATAGAGATTAGGTGCAAATCTTCAAGTCTAAATAAAACACATTAATTTCGACACTTGTAAATATGAATACTTGAAAATTTGACAAATCCAAATCCAATGCACAGTTTCACATAGTTTTCAACACAATTTTCCATAAAATAAGGATAATTACTCATGTATAGGCAATTTCAGAGCAATTTCGGCTAGTAGGGCAAAATGGAGAAGAAGGTAAACAAAATTATAAAATCCCACAGAATCGTGATTTTACTCATAAGTGAAGTTAGAAGGCACCATCTTATCTAAATAAATGTTCCATTTCACTTTTTGATTATGACCTAGTTATAGCTAGAGGGTACACCACAACAAATTACTGCAGTAGCAAAATAATCGGTGACCGAATCACCTACAATGAGTTGATTATTCTGAGAGTTGATGTAATTGGATGTACTTATCATTCTACTTCGACATTTCTCATCTAAGTTCTTCCTATTTCTGTTATTTTCATGTTTTAACTTCATCTTTAATTAATTTTTCTTTAAATAATTTTTGCATGTAAGTATTCATTCCTTTTTCTGCATTAACCCTGAAGGAAAATGCTGACTATGCGATGATAGTTTGAGAAGTGTCATTAATAGCATAAGGCTTTTAGAAATTTTATTTTGCCCCACCGGTGAATTTGTCCCGCCCCCTCTCCAAAAAAAAATCACATGCTTTGAACCCTTGAATTGTGTTATGATATCAAATTCAATTGAAATTATTATTTAAAAACTAAATTATTAACTAGTATACATAAATAATTTCATGTGTCATTTAGACATGCAATCCCTCAGTATCTATTACAAATGCTGGTTATTTTATGATTGATCCTGAATTCAATAGCAAGGGACCAACCACCGTCTGTCAATTGACAAGAGTAACCAGTCTTCAAGAATAAAATGGCCCAACAAAATAATTGCCTTACCTTGTCCAAAACGTCAAAAAAACAAGAAACAGGCACAGCTGCATTTTTAATTGCAAGTTATCTTAAAATTATGTTTCTAACAATTTATTTAATTTATGATTAGCTGCTTGTTACGTTAAAGAAAAATACTATCGATAGGCTATATTTTCTATATTCTCTTCATAAAGAAAATAAATTAGGAAAAATGTTTGTCTTTATCGAAATGTATTGTCTTTATATACCTCTTGCACCGTCTAACTCCCACTCTTCGAACGTTCTCACCTGTGGGGGACAATTAATTAAATATGTTCCACTCGATGATGCTCATACAGGCAAATAGAGGGAATTTCGGTTACCTTCCTTTTTCGTCATTCCGAACCAATATTTAATCAAAAATATTTATTCAAGATCCATTGTAAGGTAAGGAAATTGACGGAAAATAATTTTTCTCAACGTCAGAGTTCTCATTACTAGACGAATATTATTCTAGTTATTAATTCATTTGTCGGTTTTTTCCAGGCAAGTTATTTTTTTAGCATACATTAGCATACACTAGCGTATATGGCCCGCTATGCCCGCCAAATCGTCCACGTAATGGGGTGTTATCATTGGAATATATATATATATATATATATATGTATGTTTATCGGTCACTTCGGTGACACACAAAAACATACATATATATATATGTATGTTTATCGGTCACTTCGGTGACACTGCAATGTTTTTGAGTAAAGTTCAAATCTGGGAACCTAACCTCAAAAACTGAACAGCTCTTGGCATGACCCGGGAGCACCACGTGGAGGTGGCTGTTCAAGGCTCCCAAAAAGTTGACAATTGTGGTTGGTAAAACACAATTTCCAAC